TAGCTTACCTTTCTCTTTATAGCAATCATTTATAAAATGCCATGTATTCTCACAGCCGTAGCATTTCTTAACCTTGGTCCTAGATTTAGATCTAGACCTACTTTGCCCTTCTTTCTACCTCCATTACTACTCGATTTGCCACTACTTTAGTAACCATCATGACTGTTTTGCTTAAATTGAGTTCTACCCCTCATTATGTGAATCTCACCGCTTTTCTTATCATATTTTTCGACTCTAATCTCCATCTCTTTACTTATAAGGGAGTCATTACAATTTCAGACCGCAAAGTGTCCCCCACCATATTTAATAGCATTCTTAACTTCTTTATAAGTATCATGTATGGCGTTCAGCAAGATAATAGCCTTATAGGTGTCAGACACTGACTCTTCACCGTTAATAATATCTTGAACAAGTTTGTTAAGTACGTCTAAATTGTCATAAAGATCTTTTAACGAATCCATTTTAAAGTTGAAAAAAAGCTCAAGTAAATAAAATTTGTTCGGAGTATATTTGAGCAAATACAAGTCTTCCAACTTTTTTCAAAGTTCTTTAGTGATTTTCAATTTACCCTTTTTTTTCAAAACGATGTCAGATAGGTGTAAAATAATTGAAGTATAAGCAAGCTCATCGGCTTCTTCTTTTAGTTCTTTTGAAAAATCAGCAAAAAAAATGCCATCAATGGCTTTTAAAACCTTTTGTTGAATCAAAATGCCTTTTGTTTTGCTAGATTGAAAACTCACATTTCCATTAAAAGTTCCCAAATCAAAATTGTGAGTTGTCATTTTTTAATAATCAATGAAAAATACAAAATCACAATTAAATAGCACAAAGTAGACCTAAGGTCGCAAACAACATAAACCGTTTCAGATTCTTGGGGTATCGTAAGATTCTAATTTTAGATCAAGGCAATGTTCAAACAGGTGAGGTTTAAGTATTCTAGTGACTTAACAGTGTAACAAGAGATATGTTAACCAAACAGTTTCACGTACAATATATCACAAAGATAATATGCTGAAGTTATGAAATAAACAATTTAGTCACGTAGCAATTAAAAGGGAAGTAGTTCCTAATTTCTAGCACATGCAATGGTTACCCCACACGGTAACCCCAATCGTATTGTCATCCCACACGACAACGCGCTAGTGCTGAAAATTAAACATGACAAGGCAATTTACCAGAGAGGACCTATCTGAGTCTGTAAATAACGAGAGATGCAAATTTATCACTTTAGAGTCATCACTATTTGCCTTAAAATCTCCAACAACCGTAGCAATCAACTGAATGAAAAATTGAATCACAAACGTATAGGGCAAAATCGTCCAGATTTTATCGTATCACCTGAAACAGAAAACTAACACCACAAAAATGTTAGAAATCTCATTAAAATAATTCTGTCTAAAGAAAACATTCCAAACAGATCTTGGATTCGCCTCCACGCTCCTCGCTGAAATCTTCATGCGCTGCCGCTGACGATGACCGCCACCACCATGTAGACCAATGTCGGCTGTGCCTCAGCCTTCAGAATCTTCCTGTGGTGTTGGATTCTTCAACCTGCCATTGGTTTGGGCGAAAAATGGAATTGCAGGTTCAGGTTAATGAAAGAAAAATCGGATAGATTTTGATCTGTCGTCCCAGACGATTTTCGATTGATTTCTCGTCGAAGTTCACACACACCACAGCTTTGATACCAAAATGTTGAGTGAAAAATGGATGACCAAAGGATTTCGGGCTCAGTCTATCATACATATACCGAAATCAACACCACAAAGTCACAAAATTTGAACCACAACCCACACCCAAAATTGGTTGCTATTTGGCTTGCTCACTAAGGACACAGGTAAGGGGTTATTGCAGACATACAATAGTCACAAATGTTAAGAGCAAAGAGAGACGAGAACACACTACAAAGAAGAGCATAAAGCAAAAGACGCAGCAAATATCTCTCAAGAAAGAGGGCTTAGCAATAACATTGTAGAATCACAAAACAATGGAAACAGCCAATATATAGTATATGTAGGCTTTTTAGGGTAAATAGTGATTGGGCCCAAAATAATAGGTAACTAATAAGTGGGCCGAATACCAAAAGCCATCCAAGGAATAATCTGTTGGACTCATCTCTTTACTTATAAGGGAGTCAATTACAATTTCAGACCGCAAAGTGTCCCCTACCATATTTAATAGCATTCTTAACTTCTTTATAAGTATCATGTATGGCATTCAGCAAGATAATAGCCTTATAGGTGTCAGACACTGACTCTTCACCGTTAATAATATCTTGAACAAGTTTGTTAAGTACGTCTAAATTGTCATAAAGATCTTTTAACGAATCCATTTTAAAGTTGAAAAAATGCTCAAGTAAATAAAATTTGTTCGGAGTATATTTGAGCAAATACAAGTCTTCCAACTTTTTCCAAAGTTCTTTAGTGATTTTCAATTTACCCTTTTTTTTCAAAACGATGTCAGATAGGTGTAAAATAATTGAAATATAAGCAAGCTCATCGGCTTCTTCTTTTAGTTCTTTTGAAAAATCAGCAAAAAAAAATGCCATCAATGGCTTTTAAAACCTTTTGTTGAATCAAAATGCCTTTTGTTTTGCTAGATTGAAAACTCACATTTCCATTAAAAGTTCCAAAATCAAAATTGTGAGTTGTCATTTTTTAATAATCAATGAAAAATACAAAATCACAATTAAATAGCACAAAGTAGAACTAAGGTCGACATAAACCGTTTCAGATTCTTGGGATATCGTAAGATTCTAATTTTAGATCAAGGCAATGTTCAAACAGGTGAGGTTTAAGTATTCTAGTAACTTAACAGTGTAACAAGAGATATGTTAACCAAACAGTTTCACGCACAATATATCACAAAGATAATATGCTAAAGTTATCAAATAAACAATTTAGTCACGTAGCAATTAAAAGGGAAGTAGTTCCTAATTTCTAGCACATGCAATGGTTACCCCACACGGTAACCCCAATCGTATTGTCACCCCACACGATAACGCGCTAGTGCTGAAAATTAAACATGACAAGGCAATTTACCAGAGAGGACCTATCTGAGTCTGTAAATAACGAGAGATGCAAATTTATCACTTTAGGGTCTTCACTATTTGCCTTAAAATCTCCAACAACCGTAGCAATCAACTGAATGAAAAATTGAATCACAAACGTATAGGGCAAAATCGTCCCGATTTTACCGTATCACCTGAAACAGAAAACTAACACCACAAAAACGTTAGAAATCTCATTAAAATAATTCTGTCTAAAGAAAACATTCTAAACAAATCTTGGATTCGCCTCCACGCTCCTCGCTGAAATCTTCACGCGCTGCCGCTGACGATGACCGCCACCACCATGTATACCAATGTCGGTTGTGCCTCAGCCTGCAAAACCTTCCTGTGGTGTTGGATTCTTCAACCTGCCATTGGTTTGGGCGAAAAATGGAATTGCAGGTTCAGGTTAATGAAAGAAAAATCGGATAGATTTTTGATCTGTCGTCCCAGACGATTTTCGATTGATTTCTCGTCGAAGTTCACACACACCACAGCTTTGATACCAAAATGTTGAGTGAAAAATGGATGACCAAAGGATACCGAGCTCAGTATATCATACATATACCGAAATCAACACCACAAAGTCACAAAATTTGAACCACAACCCACACCCAAAATTGGTTGCTATTTGGCTTGCTCACTAAGGACTCAGGTAACGGGTTATTGCAGACATACAATAGTCACAAATGTTAAGAGCAAAGAGAGACGAGAACACACTACAAAGAAGAGCATAAAGCAAAAGACGCAGCAAATATCTCTCAAGAAAGAGTGGCTTAGCAATAACATTGTAGAATCACAAAACAATGGAAACAGCCAATATATAGTATATGTAGGCTTTTTAGGGTAAATAGTGATTGGGCCCAAAATAATAGGTAACTAATAAGTGGGCCGAATACCAAAAGCCATCCAAGGAATAATCTGTTGGACCATGAGTAGCTCTAATTAAATTAGGCTACTTCAAATG